GAATTGACGAAAAATATTCGGACTGAACGAATTTTTAATGACATCGTGCAATCGTTGCGACCAGACGAAAGCGGCTTATTACCGTCCCCTACGAGAACTTTTAAACCAAAAGTTATAAAAGAATACAAAAAAAACTAGTGATAGAAAAAATCACAAAAAAAAAAAAAAAAATTACAAAATTGTTTATGCAGAGAGTGGATGTAGTTTTAATTTTATTCTCGAAAGAGTCTGAGTGATTGCAAGAAGAGAAACGGAGATAAGTGACAAAGGAGACATCAAGTTGTAATGGTCTGTAGAAATTGTAAAATTTTTGACATTTCAAAGTTTATATATATATATATACATATATATCCATACATACATACATACATAGATAAAATATAAATTGTTTATGAGATAGGGATATTATAATTCATTATCCTGGACTGTATAATTTTGAAAATAATCCCACTTAAATATGTAAATATGTAAACAATAAAATGTTAACTTGGTCAACATTATTAAATTTACCTGCATAAATATATATATATTATTATTATTATTTTTTTTTATTTATTTATTTTTTTTTAACATCAAACTTAAAAGTTCATAACAATTTCATTATCAATATTATTGTATCACATTATTTGATTGCGATAATTAAGCTGCATATGTAAATGCATACGTAAATGTATATGCTCTTAAGTCAATTTACATATGTCTATCCAACCGCATCATAAATACATTTAATTATTATCGAACATGGTTAAAACATCAGTTACATAAGATATATTATATGAAAATGTTAACGATTTTTCCTTCTATGCATACAAACGTCGTTGATGTTAATTGGATATTATTATTATTATTATTATTATTATCATTATTATTATTATTATTATTGTTATTATTAGGACATGTAATGCCAAGGACCTCGTTCCGTATTCCTTTCCCCTTTATAAACAACGACAAATGGTAACATATGTAACATATGCGTTCTCTTAATGCAAGATCTCCATAAGGGAATGGATGCTTAATATTTACAACCGCACAACGTTTTACATGCATCCAGATATGCTATATACTGTAACGAGATTAATAACTTACATAACTACGATATGTTATGTTATTGCAAAAATTTATCAAAAAATCTCGAATCGAATTATTTTGTACAGTTGTCAGCAGTTTATTAATTATTACTATTATTGTTATTATTGTTTTTTTTTTTTTTTTTTTTTTTTTTTTTTAAGACATAAGTTTTGATTTACAACAATCAAGAGCACGAACAAAAAGTATTTTAATGAAAATAATAATACTTTTAATTTTTTTTTAATCACATATAATGTTAATAATTATTTATAATTAATGAGCAATCAGCAAAAAAAAAAAAAAAAAAAAAAAAAAAAAACACGTGACAGGTGTGCGTGCGTAACGTATTATTGCATTATAATATTTTTCTTTACAATTACGTCTCGGAGAGTATGTTTTACATAACAGACTTTCAAAAGGCTGCCGACCCTTTTTACGTAGAAAAAAACTCCTTGTACGAGGTAAGGCAATGTTGTTGTTGTGTAGATCCAAAGCTTTTACTTTCGATTATGGTCGGCCCTTTTCATATGTTCGCGATGCGCCGCGTATTTAGATAACTTTTGTCCTACTTTAGTTGGTTTTAAAATCCTTTTATTTTATAGAATTACTTATCGCTCGCTAGGTAGTCTAATCAAATCTGATCACATATGTCTCGGGAATAAGTACAGATCAAATGAATGAACGCCGCGTTGCAATTATAGTTCATATTCTTTGCGTAAAGCGTTCCCGATTTTAATGAACAATGACTGCCTTTTCTTTTTTTTTTATAAAATTATTCTCTTTTTTTTTTTTAGAGAGAGAAAAGTGTCTCAGAGAAAATTTGATTTTCATTAGCGCGATTAATAAAATTTGCGACATCATGTTCTTCGACATTCAGCGATTCTTGGTAAGACTGTTTCTTCCCCAAAAGTTTCTCATCGGGGCCCAATTGTGTTTGTATTCGGATGGGTAGCCAAACCATCTGGTGAGGCAAAATTTTTCAGAACTTTTTATCTTAATAGCTTGAGAGATGTTTTCACCATCGTCAACGGTTCTAGACAACTCATCTGATTAAAGCTTCACGCCAAGTGCAGACGTTAAAAATTGATATATTCTCTTCATTATCGTAATTCCATGCTGCTATACGCTCATTGACTTGCTATGCAAATACCTTGCACTAAACTTATCCGGACTCCAGTGTTGTTTAGGCCCCTAGCTTATAGGGATTGCCTCACTCGTCGGAGGGCGCGGGTGCCATCGGCACCGTAGGGTTAAGTCGCCAAGGCAGGAACCTACGTCAATCCCTTGTCACACATCTGCACTAAACTTACCATATATAATAAAAACTTACAAAATACTTGAATCGTGTTAAGGAAAGTGTTAAAAGTCGATCCAGCTGACGTTCCGGAAAAAGAAAAAAAAAAAGAAACCGTAATTGTGTTCGTATTCGAATGGAAACTATGTAGAAAGGTATCTCGAGAAGTGCTCCATTTCCAGGGAATTAAACTAGCGTAAAATTGGATTAATCTGCAAGATTTTTCCAAAGATCTATGCGAAGAAAATTACACCTTATACTTGGTAATCATAAGAAGAGTTTACTGTGCTTTCTTTTAATAATCAAAACTGCAAATGGCTTTACTGTCGTACATGCGAACTCAATTATTATGCCATTATCATACGTTTATCAGGCGGCCAACTTCAAAAACAGTTAATATTTGATTATGCAAAAACGTATAGTCGCGGATATATGAGAAACGAAACTTATTTCTTTTATCCATACTATATATGATCCGTGTATGATTAAGTTTGTAATGCGAATTATGAATAATAAAAATGCGAAAAAATGGTCTTTAAAAAATATTCAAAAAAAAAAGAAAAAAAAATCTCAAAAAACTTCCTTTGAATTACTAATTAGGAGATAGATAGCTAGAAGGGATATCGAAATTTCTTCAATAACGTTAATAGGGTGGTCTCTTCTTTTTTTTTTTTCTTTTTTAAATTTGATTAAATGGATATTTTCAAAAATTCTAAGCAACGAAACTAAATAATACAAATAATATTTTCTATTATGATTTCAGTTCCATAAGCTGTAAATATGAAAGGCGAACAATAATGATGTTTTTCGGTTGACAATTCCATGCGGTAACAAAAGGATTTCAGTGCATCAACTGGCTCTGCACCAAAATATATTATATGTATATATATATATATATATATATACATATATAGATATTTTCTATTATAAAAAAGAATGAAATAAAGGATTTCACTTCAAATAAAAGCGATTTAAATTTTTTGAGAAAAAAAATAAATAAAAAGAACAAATAATAGAGCAACAAAAACAACAACAACAGCAACAACAACAACGACTCAAATGCAACCAGTTAGCTGGAGGGTCTCGTATAAATAAAGTGCAACAAAACAAAAGAAACTAGAAGTAAAACAATAGCGTAATGTAACAACAGGAAATATCAAGAGTACCGTTTACTAAAAAAAAAAAAAAAAAAAAAATTAAAAAAAAAAAAAGAGAGCATATAAAATTTACAACAAAAAGGAAAAAAAATGAACTAAGCTATATATGTAGATGTATATACACAACATATATATATATATATATATATACATATGTATATAGAGCGGGAAAGAGAGAATATATATATGTTTATATGGCGACTACAACAAAAACGTGTACTAGTTATTATATATCTATATATGTATATATATAGAAAGGAATAAAAATTCGAAACAATAAATATACGGCAACCAAGTCGCACTACAAAATGCTACAGATTTTCATATATATGCAGCTGAAATCTCCGAAGGAATAGTGTAAAAAGAAAAAATCCTATATGATAATGCTCGGGTGTATTCCAATGTGTTGAAACCTTCCAACTTGAAAAGGGATTCATATCGTTTTACTTTATGTTCACGTTCTGGTCAAAAAAATAAAAAAAAAATATTTACGATATAATAATAATAATAAAAAAAAAAAAAAAAACAAAACAATAAGAAAAACAAGCAGAAAAGCTCACAAACATCACATCAAACATATATACGTATATGCATGGGAATAAAGTACAAACGGAAATAGAACGGATAACGTAATTCGACTCACAAGCGGAGCAATAACGATGACAGCACTGTTTGCACAAACCAACCGCGTAACATAAATTTAGGCTTACAGTGCCGAAGAAGGCGCAATAGTAGTCGTAGCAAGAGTCATCCTCCTCCTCCCCCTTGTTGTCTATTTAATGAAGAGGGAAGAAGAACAAGAAGAAGAAGAAGTGGTGTTTGGTCGATTTTGTTAAGCTGCGAGAATCTGTATTCAGTGGAATTGTATTTATTTAAAGCAGAAATATCTTTTGTTGTGTATAATTTTGTGTTATACACAAACGTTACACAACGGCAAACAACAACAAATAATAACAATAATCAAATTAAAAATGATTCCTGCGGTTATCATTTCCTCTTCCGGCTATACAACAAAAGCAATAACAGCAACAACAAGAACAGCAACAACAAGAAGAATAACAACGGGAGAATTGGCAGAAGCAGAAAAAGCATTAGCAGTAACAACCACAACAGCGACAACAACAGCAGCAGCAATAACAACAACAACAACAGCAACAACAAAATATACAACAACAATAATAACAGATAAGCAAACAATAGAAAACGACTCATTGCCACCACAAAAGCCCAAACAACGACACCATTGTCATCAACGCCATTATCAGCAACAGCAACAGCAACAACAAAACAAAAACAGAAAAAACAACAAAAGCAACAACAGCAACAAGAGCTAAAACATCAGCATCAGCAAATACAACAAATAAGCTATCAACGTCAACGACCCAGCGGGATATGGCACAAATCGTCCTACAATATTGTGAACTTATATCTATGGTGGCTGTTTGGTGTCTGTTTAATTTTGTTCACGAATGGCGGTCGTGATTGGCATATAGGAAATTTCATAATGAAATCATGCGCTCCTACATCGTTACTAACATTATCAACGCTTTTATCAGAAACAACAACAACAACAACAACAAAAACAACAACAAGAACAACAACGTCATCCATAATTGTTTATGCTTCATATTTGGAACCGGATGAACTAATTCACGAATTGGATCGTCCCGGTAAGTGAACAAATTACTCATCATCATTACACGCATCATTTGTGTTTATGGAAATTTGCTCAACGAAATTAATTGAACAAATATTCCCAATGATTTTCATTGATTTCAAAACAACAACATATTTTAAATTTATAAATTTTATGCATTTTCGAAAATATATTCGTTGCCACTCCGCCGAACTAATAGAAATAAATTGAAAATAAATAGTCGTCGAAGGCGGGAACGCACATAAACAGAATAATAAATATAACAACATTGTGGGTAATTGTTTTGATGAGACCATCATCAGTAATTTCCTATTTTACTTGCTGGAATTTAATGGCAAACATTATTAGAATAATTCAGTTTTTCAAATAACTGCTTGTTGGCGAATATCTTTCTCAAGTGATTATTTGAAAAATTTTCCTTATTTGACATAAAGGAAATCAATAAAAATAATGGAGAAAATTTTCAGACTCCCGGACTTTGAAATTTCCATTGAACAAAAGAAGGCTTTGAAAGTCGCATTTAGTCAGATCTGATCTCCTTTTAAGGTAATATTAATACTTCTTATATACTAACGTCTTAGCGAGTCAGTAGCAGCTGAAAATGCTAAACACTTTCGCAATTTGTCTCTAAGGAAACTACTCATTTTTATAAAAGTATTTGTAGTAACACTACTACTACTACTACCACAAGGCTACTGTTCCAGCTTGTGTACTCCCAAGTCAGTGTTTAAAAACTCAAACCTCAGTACGATAGGGTTTACTTTGTACTTCGTAACTATAGGCGGTAAAGTTATAAAACTTACCGATTGCATACACACGCTCTAGGCTAAGCCCGCCTATCTTCTCATTCTCTCCCACCATTTTCTGACCGTACTGAACGAATAGGACGCAATCCTTGAGTAGTGTGAGGGCTAATTTTGCCGAAAAACTTCTGCTAGAGTAGCTCAGCGGCTCTAGGTTTTGTTTTATAAGAAATTTCTTTGTTTACCTTGGTTTTGTTAATAATGAAGTAAAATTCTTGCAGTTTGTCTTTTGCTTTTGATAAAAAAAACTTCTTTAAAACAGATCTATTTTCATTTTTCCTATTCTCTACTTTTAATATAAGTTCACTTTTCTTAGCCTAACGAACTAGCTCCATCATCATTGTAACCGTACCAAGTCCCCTCTCACGTACTTTATTCTAACTTACAAACTTGACTAAACCTCAGCTTAAGCTAATTATTCTAATTTCTCTTTACTTAATTTCTCTTTACTGTAATTCTAACTCTCTTAACCTAACTTACTCTAATTCTAACTCTCTTGGCCTAACTCACTCTCTAACACTCCCCCTCAGAGACGAAGAACCTGTGAGGCCAAAACGAGGGACGAGCTTGGTCCCTCATAGTAGATATGATGGATCATGCATTTACATAATTAGACTGTATTACATAGATGCTTCAGAAAATAGTACAGCACCCTATATAGTACAACATTGATTTCTAAAACGTGAAGTAATGGAATTCTGAACAGATATTTTCTAAATTAGAGAAACCCTTGCATTTACGATCACGATTTTGAGACTCAAATAGATGAAGTCTTTGTTTTAACGCCTATTTTCAAAACATAGAGATTGGTTTTTGGCAAGTAAAGACACAGGTTGCTTCGGAGAATAATGACGATGCCCGAAGATCCAAATATTCAATTGTAAGCAAAATGTGCGAACTGTAAGTTCCATAAATAAATCGCTTGAAAAGCAGAAGAAACTTTGCGATATAACCTCAAAATAATTGGTCTTTTTATATATTACCCTTGCTCCTAAACAAGCCTTCGTATAAACCTCAAAAACAAGTATTTATTAATGAGAGTAGAATTCTCTTCTTTGAAAAAGTAAATCATTCGTAAAAAACAACAACAACAACAACGAGTACTGTAGAGAACTACAATATTTTTCAACTAAACAGTCTTACTTTACTTGAGTGCCGAAATGTCGAGGCCTAAATTTTTAAATGACTAAGAGTAGGAGAAGATTTCAAGAAAGTTGACCATGAAATCTTTTAAGTTCACAGAGACTTTGTTCAAAATAAACGTAACTAACTGTACGCAATAGATTTACATGAAATTGCATCTGAGGCACATATTGTTTTCCTAAAGCGAATCTGTGATTATACAATACTTCGGTATGTATTGAGTGCAAATTAGAAATAGGATAGAATAGAATGGAACTTTACCAAGATTATCGTTTAAGAAAAACCAAGAGCTTCGGCAATATTTTATGTTCCTATTTGCATTTATGTCTATAAAGTATTTAAAGAAAAAAAAATTTAATTTGTTTTCTTCTACCTTTAATGGGTTTTTTCTTTTTTTGTTTTTTTTTTTTGTTTTTTTTTTTTTTTTTTTGCTAATGGATGCATACACATACATAAATTTTGCCATCATGTTTACTTTATTCCAAGTTGTCCACTATCAAGATTTATTTACCATGTAAATCTTATTGGTATGTGGTCGGAAGCATGACAGATGGTAACAAGCACTTTCAACCAAAGAACATAAAGATTAGATTGGCCCTTAAGAACACTATCACAATCCTTTAACGCAATCAAGTTAACGTCTTAAGAATCCGTCTCTCTCTCTCGCTCTCTCTCTCTTTCTCTCATATATATAGCTTGAAGGCCTCAATTTGCGTATACTTTAAAGCAAACGCAAATATTAAGTAAAACTTGAAAAATGCAACAACACATACATATTCTTCGTATGTCCAAAATGTTAAATGTTATTTAGTGTTTCAGCGGCGAAAAAGTTAACTAAAATGCAAAAGTTGTATGAAATGTATTATTGGCTACTTTTTTGCATTCTGTCATTGCCAGACAGACTGATCGTTATTTATGAGTATTGTAAACATGCAAACAATATTTTTGAACGTGTGGTCTTTACCATTTTCTCCCCGTATATGCATGCATGCATGCATACATACATACATACATACATACATACATACATACATACATACATACATGCAAAGAAGATTGTTTTTAATATGCATAATTAGCATTCACTTGACTGTTTTAAACGCCTGGCGTTATTTTTTACGCTAGCGATTGCCGATTAAATGAATTTTAAAACGTAATAAAGAAAAAAAAAACTTTCAACAAACGTGAGAGACCGTTTACGGATGAGGCGGTAACCTTTCGGTATCAATCAATGTTTGAAATTTTTCGCAATATTTTTGTTTTTTTTTTAGTCAGAATGGATGGATTCAATAAATTGATGTCAAGTTCTATTCAATTTTTTTTTTAATTTAATTCTTAGCAGCTTTCAATATAAGAAAAACTGCTGTAAGTCGACTTCAATATTTTGAATTCACCAAATACATTAATTCATGATTCTTCTTCTTCTTCTTCTATAATGTATGTAAAAGTCAACTGCTAAGTAATATCGTTTTGAAAGACTTCACCTTCTGTTAAGTGTTAAGCAATTTGATGATAAATTTCTGAAAAACGCTGGCGTTTTTTATAAAATAGAAAAGCGTTGACTAAACTTGTTTTAAGTTCGAGGCTTCTAATGCAAGTACATATTTTACGTAATTTACATGGACCGGAAAAGTGAGCCAAAAGACTACAGCGAGACACGTTCAATGCAATTATCTACATAACGACCTTAAGAGCTTATGTTGAGAATGGTCGAAAAAGTGGCCCAATCCGAATCGTTTTCAATGACGTCCGATCTTGGGCGAAAGTATGCCGATATGCCAGATTTCATTAAAATAGCTCGACAATAGCGACCTATGGATTGAACATAAGAAAACAACAAGGACTGACGGACAGACGAGATTCAAAAAATCGTTTCAAAAAGAAGCATAGAATCGATCATTATAATTAAAGCTGTATCTATCTCAAGTCCTTCTGAGTTTTCACGACGTAAGTTATAGAGAATTGAAAATATTTCGAAAAGAAAAACAAGAAGAAAACTTAATATACTTTGACGTATGAAAGATTATGTTCTTTGTAAAATAATGTTTACGAATCAACACTTTAAACCCTAACAACAGATTTTAAATTAAAACTGTCGACCCTCTTCACTATCGTAATTGCTTACTCCAAATCTTTTTTAACTACAACAACTACAAATGTTTTTCTATGCAAGGTGCAGATAAGAACAGTGTATGTATTTCATTATACTACTTTTGAACATCTAAACAATTTATATAGTTAGGGCGTTTTTTTTTAAAGTAAAACACTTTAAACATTAATGCATCTTATATCCTTAGCCTTAGTTAAGAAAATAATTTAATTTACCAAAGGAAGGAGCATTTCTCGGATGAGATATATGTATAAAAAGTCTTCGGGTAAATAATATGTTGTGCATCATGTTGTAATCATATCTTCTATTCATTGCTGAAAGATCGAAGACCTTTTTACACCGGCTATCCGGAATATGAGTGGAAATATATGTTATAAAATATTGGCATAAGTGATCACTGTACGATTATTGTACAACTTAGTCATGTCTTCTGCTTTGTAATCGAGAATAGCAATGCATATCTCCGCGAACCTATAGAAAATCAATAGTTGTATCTGAAAAAATGTAGCAAACAAATGATCTAAAACTTGATAGAAGTACTTAGCAGGGCTACTAGAACGCATATTGGAAAGATGAGCCTAACAAACCAATAAAGAGAGTAGCATTACGTAGAGAACTATAACTTACCATAGTGAACCCACTTAAACAAAGCGAGTTGTAGTCCAGTATCCAATAAAAAGTAAAGCATTTCCCGCCTCTTTCGCCTCTTCTTGACAATTCATAATTCTTTTTCACATTACCATGTCGATTACCTATAAGACCTAAGAGCAAGACGTATAAGTTATACGAAAACAAAAAGGGAGAAAAATCAAAGAAGTGTTTATTTAAACTTAGAGGTTAGAACCGCCTAAAAACTCTACCGCAAAAGTGCTTCGTCTGGTAGACTGAATGCTCTGAAATTAAATAACGATCGGCTATAATAAGTTTCAAAACGCATGCTTCACGCTCATCCTCTCT